CAACACCATCATTAAGTTTGCCGACGACACAACAGTGGTAGGCCTGATCAACGACAACGATGAGACAGCCTATAGGGAGGAGGTCAGAGACCTGGCCGTGTGGTGCCAGGATAACAACCTCTCCCTCAACGTGATCAAAACAAAGGAGATGATTGTGGACTACAGTAAAAAAAAGAGGACTGAGCACGCCCCCATTCTCATTGGCGGGGCTGTAGTGGAACAGGTTGAGAGCTTCAAGTTTCTTGGTGTCCACATCACCAACAAACTAACATGGTCCAAACACAGAAAGACAGTCGTGAAGAGGGCACGACAAAGCCTATTCCCCCCCAGGAGACTGAAAAGATTTGACATGGGTCCTCAGATCCTCAAAAAGTTATACAGCTGCACCATCGAGAGCATCCTGACTGGTTGCATCACCGCCTGGAATGGCAACTGCTCGGCCTCCGACCGACCACAAGGCACTACAGAGGGTTGTGCGTACGGCCCAGTACATCACTGGGGCCAAGCTTCCTGCCATCCAGGACCTCTATACCAGGCTGTGTCAGAGGAAGGCCCTAAAAATTGTCAAAGACTCCAGCCACCCTAGTCATAGACTGTTCTCTCTGCTACCGCACAGCAAGCGGTACCGGAGCGCCAAGTCTAGGTCCAAAATACTTCTTAACAGCTTCTACCCCCAAGCCATAAGACTCCTGAACAGCTAATCATGGCTACCTGGACTATTTACATTGCCACCCCAGAACACCCCCTCTTTTACGCTGCTGCTGCTCTGTTTATTATCTACGCATAGTCACTTTAACTCTACCCACATGTACATATTACCTCAATTACCTAGTGTGACGAATACTGAGTATATGAAGAGGCAGGACGCAGACGCAGGAATTAACAAGGGAAAGGTTTACTTAACAATAAGAAAGAGAATAACAAAGAGCGAGTAAACGACACGACGCTAAAGGTTACACACAACAATGAACGATCAGTCCAGGGCTTTATAGTGGTGGTGATGAGATGATGAGGTGCAGGTGCGCTGGAGGTAATTAGGGTGCGTTGGGTTTCCATTCCTGTGTTTGCCGAGGTGGTGTGCTCAGACCGGAGGCTGAGTAGACTGGCGAATCAGAGGGCCGGAGGGGAGCAACGGGAGGAGACGTGACGCCTAGACTAATCGGTGCCCCCGCACATTGACTCTGTACCGGTACCCCCTGTATATAACCTCCCTACTGTTATTTTATTTTACTGCTGCTCTTTAATGAATTGCTATATTTATTTTTTACTTATCTATTTTTTACTTAACACTTTTTTAATTTTCTTAAAACTGCATTGTTGGTTAAGGGCTTGTAAGTAAGCATTTCACTGTAAGGTCTACACCTATTGTATTCGCGTATGTGGCAAATAACATTTGATTTGATTTGATTTGAGTCCTGGAAATAACACGTTCTACAACAGTAACTGTAAGCATCTTGTTCACTCCAGGAATCCTGTATAGCTTGGCCTTAGGGCTTAAATACCATCAGCCCAACAGCCCAACCTTATATGTTTCTGGAACTATGAGATCAGAATCTGCTGCCAGGAAGTGGTTTAGAGAGGAAGACTCTTGTAGGGACACATTACGGTAAACCTATTCTTGGACTAAAAAGCACTTTCAATGGAGTAAATTAATGAAAGCGTTGTAAACCTTCATGTTCATGTCACAGTGACACTGTCAAATAAAGTGTAACCAAAGTGATTTAGAGTCCAAGAGTAGTCTTAATTAATCTGGGTTCTGCAAAACTGGCCTAGAGCGTTCTAATCAGAAGTTTTCAATCTCACCCAGCTGCAATGGACAACAATACACTGAGGGGCCTAGGAGCTTTTATTAAAGGTAACCAAAACTCGTTCCCATAAACACAGTAATGCTGACCTCCTATGGTTAGGACATGTATTACATCAATGAAAAAGGAAAGAAAGACAGCACACCCTCAAAGTGAGGTGCTGGCTAATTGAAGACAAACTATGCAATGAAAAAATTAAGTTGTACACTAATTTTGGTAACACGTTACTTGACACCCAATATCAAAACACGTTATGACACAGTCATAACCATGTCATAATATGTCATAACAGCTGATATAACTTCTCATAACCTGTCACAATATGGTCCTAACACTGTCATGACCCATATATTTAGACCTGATGTGACATATATTGCGTTATTTTATGGCTGGTTATGACACCTACTTAAGAGTGTCAAAACTCACATTTATTCAAATGTGTTTTTCCCTGCCAAGAAGTTTACTTTAATTTGAAAGTTTGTTTCTTAGGTCCTTTGTTGTTGTTGTAATGAATTATTTACAGTCATGTTTCCATCATATTTTAAATGACTTGTAGAAAATGCAGTTTATGACACTGTCATAAAGCATTATGAACATCCTGTGTCACTTGGACTAAGAAAATGCACTTTATCACACTGTCAAAAAGCATTATGACCATCATCATACATTCATTAACCTTTATTTAACTAGGCAAGTCAGTTAAGAACAAATTCTTATTTACAATGACGGCCTACAACGGCCAAACCCGGACGATGCTGGGCCAATTGTGCGATGCCCTATGGGACTCCCAATCACGGCCGGTTGTGATACAGCCTGGAATCGAACCAGGGGGTCTGTAGTGAAGCCTCAAGCACTGAGATGCAGTGCCTTAGACCGCTGCGCCACTCGGATGCCCTTATGTCAGTCATCAGTCAGAAATCTGCTCCTGTATTCCCAGTCATCAGCAGCAGAGCATTGGGGTAGGTGCATGTCTGACATCAATGTGTGCGCAATTACAATGATAATTTAATATGGTCTATTTCAGAAAATGTTATATAACAAACATTCTGTTGAGAAGTAGTTTATGGTGTCATGTTTTGTTTTGTGGGTTTTGACACTCTTATGTAGGTGTCATAACCAGCCATAAAATAACGCAATATATGTGTCATGACAGTGTTATGACTATATTATGACAGTTTATGACAAGTTATGTCAGCTGGTATGACATATTATGCTGGGTGTCAAGCAAAGTGTTACCCTAAGTTTTCCTTGCATGTGGATTTACGATGGGATGATGGCTATTGAGCCAAACCGGCAAGGAGAGACGAGTCTGCAACTTTATTTTTTCTTTGCTTAGGACATGTATTACACCAAACATGCATCAAGTGTTCTGCCCTACATTTCCTAGAGGAGCGCTGAGTCACTTCTTTATAGTCAGAGAGGAAGTACTTTTTTTTCTGTTACAGCAGCATATTCTGGTTCCGCTGTGTGCTTTGATTTCCTGGACCTGCAGCCTACTTCCTATACACTTCTTCTCATCCCACATGCCTGAGCAGGTGATGGCTTCCCATGACCACCTGTCTGGTGGGAGAACACACACGTAGAGAGCTACAGGCGGAAGGGTATGACATCATACAGAGAGCTCTGCTGGGGGTGGATGGAGATTCCGTACATATTTCTGTCACAAGATGATGCGATGACAATGATTCAACAATACCATTGTCAGTTCATGGAGGAAAGAGATGCTGCTGGGAAATTTTCTGAAAATACAGCAGAGATGGAGCCAGAGCTCTCTAGCCCTAGCCCCAGCCCCAGCCCCAGCCCCAGCCTCAGCCCCAGCCCCAGCCTCAGCCCCACACCCAGACCCTTGACCTTGTTGGAAGGTCAAAGAAAGTTAGGGAAGCACCTCACTGGGGCAGTGTACTGTTGTGTGCTTAATGGATGTATTCTATTTAGGCAACAACATGGAAAGTTACCGTAAGCAGAGGTGAAATTGGGGGGGAATAGCAGTGAACAGAATTCTCAAAGTGAAATGATTTTGATATTGACAGTAATTTACAGTGGTTAGTGGTGAAGGCCTGCAATAATGTGGGTGTTTATATTTGTTCTAGTTCACACATGTACAAGTGTGTATTAAACAGATGTGTGAATTGGAAATGCATATTTTGCATATCCCAACTCGGAGAGTGGAGTCACAACCAGGATCTGTCATTATCAACGGCGAACCTGGAGCAATTAGGGTTAAGTGCCTTGCTCAAGGGCAAATCGAGAGATTGTTCACCTTGTTGGCTCAGGGATTCAAACTAGCAACATTTCGGTTACTGGCCCAACGCTCTAACCACTAGCCTACAGGCTGCCCATACAGGCTGCCAATATATATCGTTAACTGACAAGGATATATTACGTAAGCCTTGACATTAAATCCCAGAACTCTCGTCAGTTCCTTCCTCTTCATTAAAATCGCTCTTGTAGAGATGAGCTGTTATTCCTTCATATGCTGGTGTATTTCCTCCTACCTGTTTCTGTGTGACTGTGCGTGTGAAATTCCCCTCTCTGCCCTATAAGAGCCAGTCATGAGAGCCAACATGGACACACACAACAGAGGACTGCTCATCAGAGAGATAGAGGACACACACACAGACAGGTGAGTTGGAACACCTGCCACACATTTGTTGGGGGCCTGGGGTCCAAGGGGGGGCATGGCGTAGAGGCCGGGGGAGATGTTGACTTGGATGCGGGGAAGACTTTTTAAATTGATTACTGGATGCTGCACTGAACTGACAATACGCTATAAACATGGATATGTCACAAAGTCATTTTTGGAGGCTTGAAGCAGCGTTACTGTGGCAAGCAACAGATTCTTGGAACAATAGCTAACTAACTGTGAATGAATGTACTTAATAACTCTAGCTAACTTAGACTGAGAAGACTTAACATGAATGTGTATGTTGTGATGTCAGTGATGCTCTATCTAAAAGTTGGACTTTTCCTTTTATCAAGTATACCTTTTTCTCCATGCACCTATCAGTAAAATAAATAAATAAATATATATATTGTCACATACACTTGATAAGTGCAGATATTTTACCTTGTCGGCTCAGGTAATCAAACCAGCAACCATTTCGGTTACTGGCCCAACGCTCTAACCGCTAGGCTATGTGCCACCAGTACGTAAGGTGTGCGAGTTTACTTTCTAAGTGATGCTCTGTCTGTCTCCAGCTTGACATAGAGATGAAGCTGCTGTTAAGCCCCGCCCTTCCCAGGCTCCTCTTCCTGTTAGCATGTCTCAGTGGGTGTGGCTTGGGCCATGGGCTACACCTGGGAACCTGCTCTGTCACTGTACACACACACGAACTACGCAAGCACTACACAGAGATACGGAGCGCTGTGGTGAGCACACAAACACACACCGTCATTTCCATGTCGCTGTATAAGAACAAGAAACCTACCCTGAGGCTCTCAGTCTCTACCTCTCTTTTACTCTCTCTCTCTCTCACTCTCTGTCACACAGTCTGTTTTACATATATTTTATTAGAGTGAATTGAATTTTGTATTGATTGTGTTGTTGTTGGCTAAATGTGTGCAGATAGCAGCAGACAGTGAAATGGGAGTGAGACTGCTGAGGGGAGACGTGATGAGGAACATACAGGTGAGTTGTTCTCACTACCTTAACCTGCATATCAATGTCCTTTAAAAGGCACTCAGTCTAGTGTTGTCCATTACGGGATACATTTTCCTGGTGCAAAAAAGCACATATTTGTATCTGTACAAAAAATACAGTAAACCCTCATAATCTGGCAGCATGATAGAATTTGAAACATTTCTTTAACAACGTGCTGCAGTAAATGTAACATGTAGTGTGTGCTCCCTTTCAGGAGGGGGAGTACTGCTGTTTCCTGCGTCTATTGCTGCGTTTTTATGTGGAGAGAGTGTTTGTTAGCCACGGCTTGTCTCAGCCACTGCACCGACGCTCAACCAGCGCTCTCGCTAATAGTTTCCTCACAATCAACAAGCACTTGAGGCAATGTGTAAGTAGACACACACAGGCACACATTCATGCAGGCATGCACACTCACACACATATTAACACACAACTCACACACAAACAAAGCTACTACTATCGTTATCTAATGATATCTCTTTATGTCCTCCAGCACTGCCACTGTGGAGAAGACACCAGGACAATAATGGACTCCCTACAGGCCCAGTTTGACAAGGTAACTACACACACTGACATATAAATAGGCATATACAGAGAGAGAGCAAAATAGAGAAAATACTGTTTGGAGAGTGTATGGTGAAAGAGGCTTAGACAGCCCAAGAGAGGAGAGTGAGAGAGAGGAGATTAATCAATAAGATCCATGCCAATGTTAACCCCTCTCCGCCTCTTCTCCATCCTCTCGCCCTCATCTCTCCCTCCTTTCTCACTCCTCCTACCATCATCCATCCATCCTCTCCCTTCATTTCTCCCTCCTCTCCCCCACACCATCCTACCCCCCCTCATCTCTCCATCCTCTCTCCCTCATCTCTCCATCCTCTCCCCCTCATCTCTCCATCCTGTAGCTGGAGATCTACCAGGCAGCAGTAAAGGCTATAGGAGAGCTGGACTCTCTACTGGACTGGCTGGAAGAGCTCACACACAACTCACACAAGCACCTCCACACAGACAGATAACACACTGTATGTTTGTATGTTTATATTAAAATATGTAAATGTTGCAGTACAGGTGATATGTTACATTTTTGTTAGCACATATGTTTTTGATGAGATAAGTTTACCTGAAAGGAATATTTATTAATGTGTGTATTCATGCTTATTTTTGTATTAAAACGGACATATGTCAGTCTGAGATGGTTGTCTATGTTCCATAAATAATGGTTCTGCGATAGTGTTATTAACCAGTGTGAATTTCACCAAACTGTCGAATTTCACTACAAAATAAATGTACAGTGCCTTCGGAAAGTATTCAGACCCATTGACTTTTTCCACATTTTGTTAGGTTACAGCCTTATTCTAAAATTGATTAAATAGTTGTGGTTTTTCTCATCAATCTACACACAATACCTCATAATGATGAAGCAAAAACAGGTTTTTAGAAATATTACATTTACATAAGTATTCAGACCCTTTACTCAGTACTTTGTTGAAGCACCTTTGGCAGCGATTACAGCCTCAAGTCTTCCTGGGTATGAGCTCCTGAGTGGCGCAGTGGTCTAAGGCACTGCATCGCAGTGCTAACTGTGCCACTAGAGATCCTGGTTCGAATCCAGGCTCTGTCGCAGGCGGCCGCGACCGGGAGACTCATGGGCGGCGCACAATTGGCCCAGCGTCGTCCAGGTTAGGGGAGGGAATGGCCGGCAGGGATGTAGCTCAGTTGATAGAGCATGGCGTTTGCAACGCCAGGGTTGTGGGTTCGTTTCCCATGGGGGGCCAGTATAAAAAAATAAATAAAAAAAAACGTGTATTCACTAACTGTAAGTCGCTCTGGATAAGAGCGTCTGCTAAATGACAAAAATGTAAATGTAAATAAATGTAAAATGACGCTAGAAGCTTGGCACACCTGTATTTGGGGAGTTTCTCACATTATTCTCTGCAGATCCTCTCAAGCTCTGTCAGGTTGGATGGGGAGCGTCGCTGCACAGCTATTTTCAGGTCTCTCCAGATATGTTCGATCGTGTTCAAGTCCGGGCTCAAGGACATTCAGAGACTTGTCCCGAAGCCACTCCTGCGTTGTCTTGGCTGTGTGCTTAGGGTCGTTGTCCTGTTGGAAAGTGAACTTTTGCCCCAGTCTGAGGTCCTGAGCGCTCTGGAGCAGGTTTTCATCAAGGATCTCTCTGTACTTTTCTCTGTTCATCTTTGCCACGATCCTGACAAGCCTCCCAGTCCCTGCCACTGAAAAACATTCCCACAGCATGATGCTGCCACCACCATGCTTCAGCAGGTTTCCTCCAGACGTGACGCTTGGCATTCAGGTCAAAGAGAATCTTGTTTCTCATGGTCTGAGAGTCTTTAGGTGCCTTTTGGCAAACTCCATGCAGGCTGTCATGTCCCTTTTACTGAGGAGTGGCTTCCATCTGGCCACTCTACCATAAAGGCCTGATTCGTGGAGTGCTGCAGAGATGGTTGTCCTTCTGGAAGGTTCTCCCATCTCCACAGAGGAACTCTAGAGCTCTGTCCGAGTGACCATCGGGTTCTTGGTCACCTCCCTGACCAAGGCCCTTCTCCCCCGATTGCTCATTTAGGCTGGGTAGCCAGCTCTAGAAAGAGTCTTGGTGGTTCCAAACTTCTTCCATTTATGAATGATGGAGGCCACTGTGTTCTTGGGGACCTTCAATGCTGCAGAAATTGTTTGGTACCCTTCCCCAGATCTGTGCCTTCCTGTCTCTGAGCTCTACGGACAATTCCTTCGACCTCAAGGCTTGGTTTTTGCTCTGACATGCACTGTCAACTGTGGGACCTTATATAGACGGGTGTATGCCTTTCCAAATCATGTCCAATCAATTGAATTTACCACAGGTGGACTCCAATCAAGTTGTAGAAACATCTCAAGGATGATCAATGGAAACAGGATGCACCTGCGCTCAATTTCATGTCTCATACCAAAGGGTCTGAATACTTGTAAATAAGGTATTTCTGTTATGTATTTATTTTTTGCAAATATTTCTACCAACCTGTTTATCGCTTTGTCATTATGGGGTGTTGTGTATATACTGCTGAGGAATTTGTTTTATTTAATCAATTTTAGAATAAGGCTGTAACGTAACAAAACATGGAAAATGTCAAGGGGTCTGAAAACTTTCGGAGGCACTGTAAGTGTGCAATTGCTGGTACCTGGGCTGTTGTCCTTAGACGTAGTTGATTATAATTTGACAGGCACCTCGCCCTCATTAAGACTGGAGACAGGATATCCGTTTGTCCTCAGGTTTATTGTCTGGGAAAAGGTGAAACTGAGAAAAAGTCTGACATCAAGATTTAGCAGAATGGTAGCTAGATACAGCTATAATAGCTTAATTGTAGTGGAACAGATAGTACTCATGGAGAATGGCATGTAATGCCATAGCCGAGCAGACGCAAACCTCCAACGGCTTAGCTAAAGCTTCTGCTTGAGGTTGAGATGACGGTTCATTGACAATATATAAAACAATTTTCAACCAAGCTTTACGTCCCTCAATCTCGATTTGGAAGGCACCAGTGTCTTATAAACTACAGTTTCCAGTTGCAGGTGGAACAAAAAAAAAGAGAATATTCAGAAAAAATATTAAATTAACTTGTTGCACTGCGTGAGGAGGTTCCTCACCATCTTTGATGCTGGACATCTTGCATTTCCCAACATCTTTGCTGAAACTAACAATTTCTAAGCCACACGGCCATGGCCATGTGTAGAAGATGACAGCACGTCACACTGCACGACCCAAGAAACACAAAGATCTACACACGTGAGAGGCATTCTTACTTGGTACAAAAAGTGGATTTAATACGTTTCTGAATATTTGCTTGTTGTCTGAGTTCCATCTGAAGGTTTTGGATTTATGAGCTTTGCCTCCAGCTCTGCTCGTTGGGATTTGCCTGACATTATAAATAATTGGACATTGTTGGATCCTGAATGCTGATTGGTCGTATGTGTATATATATATATATATATATATATATATATATATATATATATATATATCATGGGCATGACACAAACATTATTGTTTAAGGTTCGATTTTAAAGTATCACTTCGCTGTTTTTATTATGCCTCCTCAAGTGACAAGAGTAAAGCAATAAGGCTTTTATTAAACACAGTGGGTCCATACTGACAAACATTAGAAAAGGTTTAAACAAACTCTTTTTAGTCTCAGAAAATGTATCAGCCAATTACAATCATTGATGTACTCGCACATGATAGAATGCTAAATGTTAGCTTTTCCCATCACATAACCTGGCACACCAATAGCCCTATGCTAACAACACCAGCTGGACATGATTATTTCCTGTAATAAATTCTGCATCAGCCAATTACAAATGTTGATGTAGTTGGACGTGATAGAAAACGTTTTCATGAGAGCGTCCTTAACAGAAGTCAGACGGCACCATATGCTAATCAAAGTTACTAAAACAACATTTCAACTTGATGGAAAGATCACAGTGTATTTTCGCTGTTTGCGGCAAGTTTGAATCTCAGGTGAGATTCTTTTGCTTTGAAATTTAGGGCGCGTTCGTAAATTCACTCTGGCTTTCTACTCCGATTTCAGAGCACTCTCGTCTGAGTGTGCCAGAGCGCAGAATAACTGATGAATTTAAGAACGCTCAACATCCGTTGAATATGGCCGGTGTCAGTAAACATTGGCAAAAAAACTTTATTAAATTGTTGCCAATACCACAGTTACAGTCACCAACGCTCTGGATAACATGAAAACAGCCTTACCAGCTCTGCTAGGGCATGTAAAATGGTCAGAGTGAGGTGTTCTCTCATTTATTTCTGGAAGTAGCTTCCGTTGTGAGCGCGTCACTTATCTCTGTGCTGTTTGCTGTTACTTGGCTACCTGCCAAACCTACGGGTTTTACTTTTTTTAAACCATTTAATCAATCTTAATTTAACACATTTTACCAACGTCTTTGTTATTTTTTTCCTCTCTCTACTTTTTTCATTCAACTTTTTCACCCCGGACGCTTTATCTGGACATTGTTCTACAGGACCTTCACCAGCCGAAGATAAGTAGTAACATCGCCTTATGGTGAGGAGAGCCATGCTGCAAGCCCAGCTTCAGATGCAATCGTTAGGCAAGGGCAATATAATTGTAGGAACGGATTAAACGGTGTCTGTGCCACCTGTGAGTACAGATAGTAGTAGAAATCCCCAGTTGTCTAAAAAAAAAAACTGTGACGGACCTCAGCATTACTCTGGACGACCCTGATCTCTCTTTTGATGAACATTTGAAGAATATTTCAAGGACAGCCTTTTTCCATCTTCGTAACATTGCAAACATCAGAAAAGTTTTGTCCAAAAATGATGCAGAAAAGCTAATCCATGCTTTTGTCACTTCTAGATTAGACTACTGCAATGCTCTACTCTCCGGCTACCCGGATAAAGCACTAAATAAACTTCAGTTAGTGCTAAACACGGCTGCTAGAATCTTGTCTAGAACCAAAAAATGTGATTATATTACTCCAGTGCTAGCCTCTCTACACTGGCTTCCTGTTAAGGCTAGGGCTGATTTCAAGGTTTTACTGCTAACCTAAAAAGCATTACATGGGCTTTCTCCTACCTATCTCTCCGATTATGTCCTGCCTTACATACCTACAAGTATGCTACAGTCACAAGACGCAGGCCTCCTTATTGTCCCTAGAATTTCTAAGCAAACAGCTGGAGGCAGGGCTTTCTCCTATAGAGCTCAATTTTTATGGAATGTTCTGCCTATCCATGTGAGAGACGCAGACTCAGTCTCGACCTTAAAGTCTTTACTGAAGACTCATCTCTTCAGTAGGTCCTATGATGAGTGTAGTCTGCCCCAGGGGTGCGAAGTGAACGGAAAGGTACAAGAGCAACGAACCGCCCATGCCTGGCTGGTTTCCGTCTCTCCATTGGGATTCTCTGCCTCTGACCCTATTATGGGTGCTGGTGCTTACTGGTGCTTTCCATGCCATCCCTAGGAGGGGTGCGTCACTTGAGTGGGTTGAGTCACTGATGTGATCTTCCTGTCCGGTTTGTCTCCCCCTCGGGCTCGTGCAGTGGAGGAGATCTTCATGGGCTATACTCAGCCTTGTCTCAGGGTAGTAGGTTGGTGGTCTGTTGATATCCGTCTGGTGGTGTGGGGCTGTGCTTTAGCAAAGTGGGTGGGGTTATATCCTGCCTGGTTGGCCCTGTCCAGGGGTATCGTCGGACGGGGCCAGTGTCTCCCAACCCTCCGTCTCAGCCTCCAATATCTATGCTGCAATAGTCTATGTGCCGCGGTCAGTCTGTTAAATCTGGTGTTA